ACGACGGTAGGTCCGACGGACATGTATTGCCCAACGGCGCTGTTGGCAGCGAACGCTCCCTGGTTGAGCTGGCTGGCGCTCAGCTGCGCGCTGCCGTCGTGGTGCTGACCATGGTAGGTAGGCGCTCCGTAACCCTGGTACGCGCTGTCTTGATACTCCCGACCAGAGTCATACCCTGCCATCGTGTCAGTTGCGCTTGATTCCCGCGGTAGACTGCCCATCAACGCACCATGGAGCGGGGTCGGCTGAGGCTTCCCGTATTGGGACATGGGAAGGAGACCCTCTTGCGGAGAACCACCGCGAAGGTCTCCGTTGGCTCTGGCGACTGCTTCTTCGTACTTGAGCGTCACCGTCTCAGGCGAGTCGAGCCCCTCTTCACCAACAATGATTGGCCGTTGGGGGTGGTAGTCGGGCTGCACATGGGTTAGCCTGCCTCCAGAGGTGAAGTCGAGAAACCGGATGTCCGTCATGACTTACCTCGAAAGGCTTGTAGGGAGCGCACTCAAATTTCGCTGCTGCCGACATTCAAGCTGTTAAGATGGAGAAGATGGGAAAGCTTGGAGTAGGATCGGGGGAAGTGCAGTCCACTTGTTTCGGGAGTGGTCCGCGACTAAGGCCTTGTGGAGTTATTTTGTGGGAGAGACAACGGGGAAGAGAGACTAGCAAGACGTCCGAGGACAATGCTGTGGATGTTGTAGAGGGTCGAAACAGCGGCAGTAAAAAGGGTCAACGCTGGTGGATATCAATGGAATGCTGCGCGAGACAGCACGTCGAGAATTCCTGGTGGCTAGTTCATGAGTGGCGTTGAGATAGTTTCGGTCCCAGCGGCGAGGGAGGAATGCTGAAGTATTCAAGAGACACGCGCTGAACCAAATCGGGGTGACAGACGAGGGATATCAGGATCCGAAGGTGGTTGGGATCTTGGAGTAGAAGGCTCTTAAACCCTGATGAGGTTTCTTTGACGAGAGATGCTCTGCGGCTGGGGCCTCAGCGAGTGTTGGTTGTCATTGGATGCTGTGTGATGAAGCAAACCCAAGGAAGCCCGTTGGCTGAGGAGTGTGTGAGGAGATCTGAGAATGTCTCCGGCGTGGTCCTCGCGCGTTAGAATGGGCTGTAAGCCCGACGTGTTGATCTAATGGAATGCGTCAGCCGGATGTTCCAGGCCCCCAGCCCACCTTGCAGTGCGACGGATATCCCAACACAGGAAGACTCTGCCCTGCCACAGAGGGTTCATGGCCACGTAGCTGCGGCGCGGATAGTGGAAGGGGATCACGCACTCACCCGTTGAAGGGAGCCGAAGTTCCTCGCTGACGAGATCCAATCAAAGGTCGGGGGACAAACGCTCTCGATGGGGTGTTCGCAGCTCAGCGACGGTGGAGCTGCAGAATCGTTCGTGTGCCGGTATCCTATGGACCTGTTCGCACAATGTAGGTCTGGGTTCGTTAGAAACAGTTCTCTGACGACATGCCAGGTCCCGCGGGTGATGCGTGGGAGGATGGAATGGAAGCCGGATGCCCAACAGGATGAAGAGGGAGAGTAGAGAAAGAAGGGAAGCAGACAGGGCTTAGGAAAGTCAGACTTGTCGCTGATTTTGTTTAGGTTCTGCCACTGGGTAGAAGACAGCAGGAATGCGGATGAAGTAGACGGACAGATGTTGCATGTCTCCCAAGGGTCGGCCCTTTCTTGTGGAGGCAAGCTCGCTGTTGAAGTGTGGCGATCCAGATCCACTCGGGATGTTCCAGCGGTTGGACTTGGGGGCTTGCTTTTTCTCTCTCTCTGCCGCTCATACATATGCCAGAGGCACCAATAACCCGTACCGCGTACCAGAAGTGCCCCTCCCTTGCAGCAGGCAGTCCCTCGCACCCGTTGCTTTTGGGTCTACGGGGCTCTGCTAGCAGATGGCCCTGCTGCAGGTGACGCTACGGACAGTGGGAGCTCAGAAGGCCTGGGGGCCATTTGACAAGTGTGGGGAGGCAGCGGAAGGGGTGGTTTACCAGCAGGGATACAACTGGAGTTGGGATGCAAGATTCCAGCGTCCCTTGAGCTTGCAAGGATGGCTGATCACCGCACGAAAGGGT